GCAATGCATTGATAAGTACACAAGATTTCATAGGTGATGGGTTTTCGGAATAGCAGTGCTAAAACTGTAGAAAATCTCTCTTCCGCACGCTAGGTCGTCCTCCCTCCGGTCATCACCTCACCGTTAAATCTACTATTCCCACTCCTCCGCTCGTCGCCGGTAAAAGCCATACACCCTCCTTCCTCCCAAGAGACCGCCCTAGATCCACCTATGACTGGATATTAAGGCCACACGGGGAATCAGTATTGGTATCTCATACTAGCGATCTTACTGGAATGCTCCCACATGTCTGGTGTAGCTATGCTAGTCGCTTTGAGCCCGGACTAAGAAATACGTGAAAATATTTTTAACGTACCCATGTTTGTAGCACCACAGCAAACACTGTTCCCGGAGAGTTGGTCGTAAGTACACGTGAAACTGGCCGGACAGCTGTTACTCACAGTTGTGCTGCATTCGAACGGCATACGTGTATTCGGATTCACGTACGCAATATCACCTGGAGCACATGCCGATGACAGGCAGAAGTTATTGCATTGCTCCAGCGTTGCGAAATTGTTCAGATTGCCGTTGCAGCCGTTGTACGTGAAGCGTGTGCATTCTTTGGTAACAATATTGAAGTAGTACCGTGAAGCAGTCGACGAGCTGCATGAACTACCCTGCTGCGGTGGCAATGAGCAAATGTACGCTGCAAAGAATTAGTTTTACTATTATCAACATTAGCGTTAACGTTCGGGACGTTTTAATGGTGCTCAACACATTAGTAGCATGACAAACGGTTAAGGTCTTTCCATTTTTTTAGAACCTTTCAGTTTGGTTTTTCCATAAATATATAAGCGTTGCAAATGAAAAAGTAAAAATGAGAAAGGATTGCAGGCGGTTCAGTCTTTTCTCCTTATTCCAGCTGCCATTCACTCCCATGTTATATGCAAATGTCCCGTCTTGTGACTCGCCAGTCTGCACCTTGTGATATAAAATGATGTGATTAGAAATGATGTTTCCGACATTTTTATCTGAAGTGGAGTGACAACAGTTTTATGGGGTATTTGCTACTGCCAGCTGAATCCTGTATCCATTAATATTGCCTTTTCCGTGAATTGTTTGTAAATACAGTTTATTTTATTATATTTGAACTTTTTACAGATACATTCGCAGACAGCGATCTTAAGTATGACTTAGTGGGCCGAGACTTCTTAACTAAGCATGTTTGTTAAGGCTTTTTGGTTATACGTCAATAAAATCGAGGATTCTGGACCAGTAATTTGGCCATTCTGACGGCTGTACCAATAATACCAGGAAAACTCGCACCAACAGTATAAGTATTTCGTGTTATTGATATTACTGGGATAGCGGTTACAACATTGTTAATAACTTATAACACATTTATAGCTGTTTCATAGGCCATTTTGCGCAGTGATTATCTTTGAAAAATGATAAATTTAGGAGGGAAACAAACCTCTTGTTGGACAACATCTACTCGCCACGCTGTTACCGGAACTGACCGATGTGCATTCGTGCGTGCTCGGACATGATGCTGCACTGGAGCAGGTCATCAAGCGGCCAAATTCATTACGCTCCGGGGTACCACCATTTGGACAACCACCAACGCCACAGTAACTCTCACAGTCTTCACGAGTAGCAAAGTTATTCGAATTGCCATCACAACCTGCAACATGGCTTCTGAGTTCTGAAAAAAAAAAATTTCTCAAGATTTTTGCCTGATGTTTGACCATAAAATGGTACAAACGAGCAACACGGAGTCAGAAACTCGATCGGTTGCTTCTAAGCAACCTTAAGAAGGTGAAATCATCTCAAAAAGCCTGTTAAAGAATGATCGCTTTTTGGTAACATGTTACCATAAGGACCATTTTTGAGTGGTTCTGCGACAAAGGGAGAATCAACGATGGAAAGGTTTCTGATTTGTAATTTCATCCTTGTTAATTATATAACAGTCTTAGTTATGTTCAGTATTGCTCTGAACTAGTTGAGTGGCAGCGATAAGAGGCAACAAATGGACAGAAAGCCATTAGAACGTGAACGGCTATGTGGAATTATGTGGATGAGAGAGGCGCAGAACAGAGAAGAATGGAAAAGTTGCCACCCGCAACAATGGCAAAAAGAAAACGCAACGAGGGAGCAATAATTGAACCAAAAATTTTCGATTAAAAATTGTATATAAATTTAGCTGTTTCTGTT